AGTTACTAAGCAAAATCAAACAGACCTTAATTCGATAAAAACATTGATTGTGAATAGATCGAGAAGACCGAAAATACTTATAAAAACTCGAGACGACCTTTTCTAAAATTGTATACAAAATCGAGAAAAGATACCTACTATATAAAAATAGTTATCTTTAATTTTTTAACCTGCACAGACAGACTTTTAAATGTTTGTATTCACGAAAAGACTATAGTTTTCTATTGAATGTGCATGTACCGGCGTGCTCGATAACTTAAGGTTGATAAAAATAAGCAAACTGTGAGAAATTGTAACATGCTAAGAACTTTTTGGAACACTTAAAAATTGGTGACATGAAAGATCTTTCGATTTTGTATGTACAAGATTTTTTCCATTTTTATATCAATATGCAGCAAAGATTGGCAGTTTTTAAATTTCAGTTTCGCAAGCTTCTTGAGGAATTATCTCGATAAATACTGAACATAAAACATCGTGTATTTGCATATATATTTATAATAACACAGTTCATCAAATAATTTCTTTAAAATCTACATTTATTATTTAAAAATCACTTTTGATCAGTATCGTCACCGATATTGTTCTATTATTGACTTTCTCGACTCTATCATAAGAAGAGTGGATTTTCTTTTGTTTTCGTTCACTAGGGAGTTCATCGCAGATGGCACAGAAGGGTTAGCAGATCCTGCTCCACATGTGACACCAATCGTGTTACTGCTTTAAAAAAACGTTGATAATCATTTAAAGTATATATTGCAGCGCGCAATTTAATAGCGGGTGGTTAATTGACGCTTTAAAAAGCAATTGTTGGTAATTGACTCTTATATAACCATATGACACCACCAAGGTCGTATATCATTGGTCAATTCATTTACTAACCCTTAACCAGGGGTAATCTCATTTGTTAGGGAAGGGTAAACAGATACTGTTCCACATGTCAAACCCGTTGTATTGTTCATGTTAGTTTAAAACCGGCGATAAATCTTATTTGGTAGGATACATTCGAGGAAAAGGGTACATGATTGTGGTAACGACGATTGGGACAGATTATCCAGAACGTGTAACCAACTCATGATGGTGTCGGTAAAATGTTTAGTTCAATTTAGCGATAAATTTAGCTTCTTTTCCTTCCTCCTTTAAGCTTCCTGTAATAAATCTGCCTTGCATGGATGAAGTAAAGTCGACAAGAAAAGGAGCGCAGTTGGTCCAAATGTGAATGCCGTTTGTTTGCTGAAAAACATGCCTTCTGAAAATAACAACTATGTTGTCAATGCGAAATCTACCATTTTGATAATGTCAGTTTCCAAGAAATTTTGTTTGAATCAGAGTCGTTTTTTTGTCAGAGTACGAGAATATATGTATTTGCTTTGGCCGTTTCCGTTTTATTGGTATTACTTAGATAAACATACGGTCACTCACTTCGATTTTTATAAATTAACCAATCTGTTACCTTTCTGACGTTACGCTTATTTCGACGTATTGTGGTATTTTTTCACCAATTTGAATGACGTATACCATAAAAACGAAGTCAGTGACCAAAATGTTATTTTATATTATTTAAACCAAAAAAAATGACATCTTATTTATTAAAGGGGCACTAGCTGTCAAATTCATGTTCACCGATTTGACTCTCAAATTCTCATATTTGATTTATAACAATGTAAAAAATTTATCCAAACTGTTAAAAGTCTAAAAATAAACAATTTACAGGGCATGGGCTCGATAATATGTAGCTTCATTTCGTGTGTATTTTAGTCTAGACGCCATCTAATTAACTATCGAATTGACCTCCGAAGTCGTCCGATGACCATATAAGCGATGTAAACATAAATATAGATATAAATAGATTATTTTAGATTTTTATATATATATCTCGTAGCTAGTGTCCCTTTAAGATTAATCTTTGGATTAAAAATAAGAGATTAGATGATTTTAGACAAATATAAGAAACTCCTCCCCCCCCCTCCCGAACCCCACTTAAACTGGGGGTGATCTCAGGTGCTCCGGAAGGGTAAGGAGATCCTGCTCCACATGTGGCACCCGTCGTGTTGCTTATGTTATTACAAATCCGGTAAATAGTCTAATTCGGTAAGTACATTCGTGAAAAGGGAGGGTATTGTAGTTACGACATAAGGAACATATCCGATATCAGCAGTGAAACGGTTATTCTATAACGGTAAACCGGACTTTCTTAAAATTTTAATAGATTTGATTTAAATGTGTATTGAAATCATTCAATACTTTTGTTCTATATAAAAAAAAATCGTCGTAGTAATTAATTTGACAGATCAATTGTCCAGTATATTGATTACTATTGTTTATCCAAAAAACTGGAAATTAATTAGAACTCATACAACTTGTCTTTTAGCTCGCGGCAAGATCTTAAGTAAACATAGTTAGTATACATGTTTTTTTAAACGGTAACTTTAAATAAGTAATCAAATTAAATTTACGATTTAATTCATTATTTTATTTTTGATCTAGTATTGCGTAGACATACATCTGAATGTGCAACCTCCATCGTGCAAGGCTTTGTCATACTTTAAACGAAATGACAACTTAAAAATTGTGGAATGTAATTAATGTATACACGATGGTACGAGTATCAGTCTCATTCCAAATTGAAACACTCCACATTATTATTTTTGACATAAAAAAAAATCAAAGAATCATCGGTTGCAGACATTTTCAATTCGAAGAGATCAAAAAGGTTTTTTCTTCAATCTTAAGTTATTACAAACGCCAAAGTAGATATGGTGTATTGGAATTTAAAAGTCAAACTTCGCCAGTAATCATCACAGCCAAGCCTTTACTGTCAAAGGACAAACTTCAATTCATCGTATACTAAAAACGTACATTTGTAGATAAGGCCTTCAAACATCAACTTAAACTACCGGTTAACCGGTTATTCGGTCGAACAATTATCCGAGTAACCGGTTAGGCAAAACTGTACGATTTTATTACACAGCCATGTTTTTTTCAAAAACCTATCATACACGGTGAAACAGTTGACTCGATATTTGCGTGATTCCACTTCTGTAGTACTTAACACAGCTTGGATGTGACCGAGCCTCAGTAGAATGGACGATTATATGTCTTCTTTTTACCAGCATCAGGTGACACCTCATTTTCCATCTCTTTTGTTAAATCAGGATATAGAAATATAGTCTTACTTCCATAAAAAAATCTCTGTTAAAGTGAAGCTACTATTTTGGTTGTGTGGGATGTATAAATAAGCAGCTTAGCCCCTGTATGAATGTGTACATTTTGGAGATTTGTATGCTCTCTGTGCATTAAGGAATCCTAATTACAACTCTCTTCAGGGTCCATCGGTCCATCGGTGCCCTGTTGCAAGGCATTTTCGTCATTTATTATTCTTTTTTGCCTTCGCTTGACTGCCTTTTTCGGTTTATGGTTTTAATCACCTCGCCCCTTTGAAACTGATGAGTTTTGGTAAATGTATTTTAGATAGTATGTACAATAAAATAATCCTTGCTTTTATAACAGTTCCATATCGTGATATAAGCAATGTCTAAGATAATGAAAAGTTGAATAACAAAAATACCGAACTGCAAGGAAAATTATAAACGGAAATTTCCTTATCAAATGGCAAATTTAAAAGCTCAAACATATCAAACATGTCAAAGGAATGGAACACAACTGTCATATTGCTGACTTGAACAGGCATATCCTTCTGTAGAAAATTGTTAAAAAAGGATTCACAATAAGAATGTTTTTTTGATAAATGTGACGTATATAAGGCTTTTTCTACCTCAGGAATATATTACCTTAGCTGTATTTGGCAAAACTTTAAAAATTTTTGTCCTCATTGCTCTTCAACTTCGTACTTTATTTTGGCATATTTCAACTTTTTTAGATTCGGGCGTCACTAAAGATTCTTTGGTACACGAAACGCCCGTCTGTCGCAAATACAAAATTTCAATCTTGGATCTTTGATGAGTTTACATACAATGATATTTGTAGGGTCGGACATCAACTTTAAATGTCCTGCCATATAAATTGCGCATACTCTGTCCACGGCCTTCCCTGGTAACCCAGTCTGCAAGTATTCCTGTTAATATCAGTCATCATTTCCGCCTGCACCTGCTTGGTTCGGAGTATCCAATTCAGATGAATATGGCTATGTATTTGGTACAACTTAACAGACATCTATGAGTTTAGTATGACGTCCATTATCACTGAACTAGTATACATATTTGTTTAGGGGCCAGCTGATGGACGCCTCCGGTGTGGGAGTTTCTCGCTGCATTGAAGACCCATTGGTGGCCTTCGGCTGTTGTCTGCTCTATGGTCGGGTTGTTGTCTCTTTGACACATTCCCCATTTCCATTCTCAATTTTATCGTAACCTACTCCACCACTGACATAATTGTTAGCAAGAGATTAATGAAATACTGGACAACATTTGATAAAAAGTACCAAGCTTATGAGTTGATATGCCAGACGCCCGTTTCGTCTACATAAGACTCATCAGTGACGCTCATATCAAAATAGTAAGAAAGCCAAACAAGTATAAAGTTGAAGAGCATTGAGGACTCGAAATTCCAAAAAGTTGTGCCAATTACGACATTCATTCTTTGGAGGGTTTGGTGTAAAAGTAAAATAACAAAAATACCAAACTCCAAAGGAAAATCCAATTCTTAAGTCAACTTTCAAATAGCTATGTCAAAAGGTCAAACACATCAAACGAATAGAAAACAATTATCTTATTTCTGACTTGGGACATGGATTTTCGTATGTAGAAAAAAGTAGATTAAACCTGGATTTATAGCTAGCTAAAACTCTCAATTGTATAAAAGTTGCATAGAATAAGTTGTTGATTTGGTCTGTTGTACTGTCCAATAATTTTAGTATTCCTTTTATTCTGGTTCGTGTATATTTTTTCATTTGCATATACTTCCAATGACTCCCTTTATTCATATCTCTTAAAAAATACATTATGGACAAATGGAATTTCAGAGATTAAAAAAAGACTAAGACATATAGTTATGATGTGTAATGTTTCTTAAATAAATTTATATCAAGAAAGCTAATTAAGCTAGCATAGTCCATCAAAGTTTATTAGATAGTCATCCCCAGTTTTGAATGGTTCTGTCAGACACATAGTTTCCTTTTGGGCTAGTTGTTCCAGGTGGAAGCATTGCTAAATACACTGGTGTATCTGCTCCTGTAAAAAGTAAAAAGTATATAGATAATATTACATGTATATGGTTGAAGTGATGAGATAATTGTGTGTATTTTGAACTTGCATACTAATCATAACTATTTCAATCTTCTTTCCATTCTCCTGTCCTAGGATCACTATTTTTCGTTCATATATTTAATTTTAGGTACTGGGGGGGTTTGTTCAACAAAGAAAGCATCATCAGCTCAACCAAAATGGCAATAACATTATAATTACTTTAAAAAACGAAAACATTAAATTGTCAATTTGTTTTTAAAAGACAAATGTAATATTATTAAATAGGGGAACATGAAAACCTGTACAAATTAATCAAACCAAACTTAAGTATATAAATCAGTGCATGGTGTGTTTGAGAAGTCCCTTTTTTATAATGGGAATTTGCTAGTGAGCTTTCTGTTAATAGTTCTAAAAACATAGTTCTGACAAACTGAGAGACATTTGTTATAGCTGTAATATTGAAACAGAAAATTATATGAGCTGCGTCAGATAGAAATCGACCTTTTGCAAATGAATATCAATACATCTGTTAAATTTTTTCGGGTTGAAAAAATGTCTACGGAAAGTCTGTAACTGTTTGATATTTGATATGTTATAAGAACCTTACAAAAAAGACCAAAATTCATCCTTTGTTTCGTATTTGAATGTTCCAAAATCAACCAAATTATAAAATGTGTTTCTTTTTCAGATATAAGCATTTGGAAATTTAACAAGAACCAGGAGATGAATTGATTAGATTTTGTAGAGAGATGTTTTCACATCAAAAAATCTCTTATAAAAAGACAAGGATTTAACTTGACTTTGCATGAAAGAAGTTGACGGGGTACTAAATGTTAATATGTGAAGAAACAAGTTACATTAAGCCAGAACAACTAAACTTGTGTGGGCTAGTTTGTGTGATAAGCATCTAAAACGTTCATAGTGAAAATGAGTGCTCTTTTCAATACAAACTTTTCAATTGAAATGTTTTCACTGTAATTTTTTTTAAAGAAATATCAAGGATTCAACCATAAATAGTGGGAATGTTGTTAAAGATGCAGATGATAAAATGACAAATATTATGAAAAACAAGTGGGGGCTGATGAGCAAGTTTTGTACTGGAAAAAAAGAAAACCAGCCAGGGAGGCTAAAAATCCAATGAAAACAAGATGACCACTATGACACAAAAACAACATTAAGAAAGAAAGTAGGTGAAACCTTTAATTCAAATTAACCCGGGTACAGTCTTACCTACTAAAATGGTCACCATTTTCAAAAGGAAACCTTTCTTGTCAAGTCACCCCCTCATTGTCCTGATGTAGTAATCCCAAATGCTCTATGAACCTCAATTCGTATATGGTCAGTTGTCTCAGGTCCAGAGAAATTCCTTAATAAACATCTTTGAATGCAGAAGCAGTTTCCATTTGTTTTTAATTAAGTAAGGTACATCCATTAATTATAGACACACAACTTGTGTTTCAGGAATTTATATACAGACAAGTAGAAGATCAAATTGAAAAGAAACTGATTTATAAACAGATATTAAAAACCCCAAAAATGATATTTTGTAACTTTTTAGTTCTGAAGTGTTTTGTATCGTTGGTTTTGGGGCCCTTTATAGCTTGCTGTTCGGTGTGAGCCAAGGCTTCCGTGTTGAAGACCGTAGCTTGACCTATAATGGTTTACTTTCATAAATTGTGACTTGGATGGAGAGTTTACCTTGTTCTATTGTTTTAGTTCCTTTATGAGAACTCATATCAGTATCAACATATCCTGGGCAACACTGAAAATATGAAAAATAAATTGTATATCTAAAGATAGAAATGAATGATTTGATTACCTTGTTCTATTGTTTTACATATAATACGTTGTTCAGCTGTGCCTTTTTTATGTGCTGAATTTGGTTGTTTTACGTATTCGTTTTTATTCTGTAGTTAGTCACCACTTCGGTGTTAACATGTATATCTATTATATAGTCATTTTTATAAATTTAATGTTTGCAAAAGTATGAATTATTCTAAATACTAAGGATTATCTTATCCCAGGCATATAACCTTAGCCATATTTGGCACAACTTTTGGGAACTTTTGGTCCTCAATGCTCTTCAACTTTGTAATTGTTTTGGCTTTCAAACTTTTTTGATCTGAGCGTCACTGATGGGTCTTATGTAGATGAAACGCACGTCTGGCATATTTAAAAACTATAAGCCTGGTACCTTTTGATAGCTATTATTTGCATGTGTCTCTGTCCTGTATGTTCTTCCATTTATTTGTATTGTAGTCCTGTCATGTAATCTTGTCATTTTAATGTTATATTTAACATTGCCATAAAAGCGGGAGGTTTGGCTAGCAACAAAACCAGGTTCAACCCACCATTTTTTCTTAAACATGTTTAACCCTGCATTCTGTATTTATGTTCCTATCCCACATAACGTGCCTGTAATTCAGTGCTTGTTGTTTGTTGCTATGTTACATATTTGTTTTTTGTTCATTTTTCTTTACATAAATTAGGTCTTTAATTTTCTCCTATGAAATATTTTACATTTGTCATTTCAGGGCCTTGTATAGCTGATTTTACAGTATGGACTTTACTCATTGTTGAAGGTTTAACCTGTTGTTGTTAATTTCTGTGTCATTTGGTCTCTTGTGTAGAGTTGTCTCATTGACAATCATACCACATCTTCTTTTTAATATTAGTAACTGCTCCACTGAGTCCATCCTGCTGTCTGTATGAAATACCTTAAGTTACATTCACAAGATATAAAAGGTGATAATATATTTATCTTATCGTCTTTATAGATTTGTAACCTATAATATCTTACATTTTTTGTCTTAAATTATTTTGTTTATTAATGACTATTAACTGTACAGTTCTGAAATATAGAGTAAAATCACAAAAATACTGAACTTTGAGGAAAATTCAAAACAGAAAGTCCCTATCAAATGGCAATATCAAATGATAAAACACATCAAACGAATAAAAAACAACTGTCATATTCCTGACTTGGTACAGGCATTTTCAGATGTAGAAAATGGTGAATTGAACCTGGTTTTATAGCGCTAAACCTCTCACATAGAAAGAAATAAACTGTCATTTTGATAGTTTTCTCGATAATTTTTTTCTAATTCTAGCAAGGGCAACCATATTGGTTGATCAGAGGGAAATTTGGAACTAAATTTGCATAAAAAACATACGGATGATTGTAATTAATTTTGGTGTCATTTTTCTATGTTGTGTCTTGTGTACTACTTACTATTTGTCTGTTTGTCTTTTTCTTTTTAGCCATTACATTGTCAGTTTATTTTCAATCTATGAGATTGAATGTCCCCCTGGTATCTTTGGCCCCTCTTGAACTATAGGAGTTTCAGAGGAGAAATGTCTTAACAAAGATTAAAAATTGATGACATAGAGCCAATGTGAAGGAAATAACTCAAACCTGACATAGGCTTTGGGACCTGGTGAGCTAAAATTATTTACTTACTGCATTCACAACAATATCCTCCCTAGGGTCAGAGTTCAATTCTCTCTGCTGTATGAAGCTCATTACAGTAACACCAACCTTAGACATTCCATAGGCTGATGAAGCAAATCCTTGTTTTAGGTGGCTGTCAGTCTGTGCAGCACTGGAAAAGTTCTTTACAAATAAGTAATAAAATAAAATAGTTATGTACGAATGAAGTATTACCTCTCAAAAAGAAAAAATCACGATAGAATACACAGTGCATAAATTCAAACATTGAATTTTGCGAAAAGACATTTATATAACATTGAATTCTGAATCAATTGACATCATTTCTAAACTATGCAGTCTAAATTCCTAATGTACTTACTCAATGAATTGCCGAATAAGAGCTTTCAGCTGGTCCATAGTTATTTTTGGGTCTTTAAACTTTGCTTTGATTTCATCGCTACATTTTGCTATACACATCTGTGATACCATACTAGATACGTTGGATACTCTGTAAATAAATCAATAAATTGAAGCATATATGGTTTTTTTACTGTATTTTCACGCTTCCTTTGAAATATAAACTAAACTGATGTTCAGTGGTTGTCATTTGTTGTTGTGGTTCATAAGTGTTTCTTGTTTCTCGTTTTTTATTTAGATTAGACCGTTGGTTTCCCTGTTTGAATGGTTTTACACAAGTATTTTTTTAGGCCCTTTATAGCTTGCTGTTAGGTGTGACCCAAGGCTTCTTGTTGAAGGCAATACTTTGACCTATTATTGTTTACTTTTATAAATTGTGACTTGGATGTAAAGTTGTCTCATCGGCACTTATATCACATCTTCTTATATCTAAGAAATGATTTGTCTTTCTGTGAAATTCAAATACTGTAAACAAACTTATTTTCATGTGAGATTTATTTTTGAGACTTTTACAAGTATTATAATTTAGCGAATATAAATCATCACTAATACATGTAATATGGAAAACTTTAATCTTTCCTTATTTAACTTCATCAAGCAAATTTTAAAATTCTGAAATTAAATTGCCCCTAAATGGTCTAGTAAGGGCTAAACATGGAATAAAGTATCCATGAAAATAAGTTGGTTTACAGTATACAAAAAGGATTAAAAAGAAACCATTGACTAATGACAGATAAAACAATTTTTTTTTTTTTTTTTTTTCATTAGTCAGGCTTTTACAATCCCTGTACATCACCACCTGACTATGGTGTTAAGGGGTTTGATATCTAAAGCAAAAAATTTGAATAATTGACTACATTTTTTTTTCTACTACTGTGAATATATATTATATTTATATCAACATTATAATAAAAAGGGAGGGGAAAAGAACAATCACACACACATACACACACTCTTGCACTTGCGTTAATATAAGGGAGCTACCATTTGATTTTTATGGGGCTAGGATGAAATTTGAAACAAGAGGCTCTCAAGAGTCTGAATCGCTCACCTGTATTTCAGAGGAGAAGATTTTTAAATGTTAGCAAACTTGATGAACAAATTGTGTAAAATTGTCTTTAAAGGGCAATAACTCCTTAAGGGGTCAATTGACAATTTTGGTCATATTAACTTTTTTGTTGCTTACAGTTTATATATATCTATAATAAAATTCAAAATAATAACAAAAAACTGCAAAATTTTGTTAAAACTACCAATTCGGTGGCAGCAACCCAACAATGGGTTGTTCAATTCGTCTGATAATTTCATGGCCGATAGATCTTGACCAATTAAACAATTTTACCCCATGTCACATTTGCTCTAAATAATTTAGTTTTTGAGATATAAGCCAAAAACTGCATTTAACCCTTATGTTCTATTTCTAGCCATGACGGCCATGTTTGTCGATGGATACAAACTTCGGATACAATTTATAAACAAGATACCCTAAGGAACATTTAGTTAAAGTTTGAAGGTAATTGGCCCAGTAGTTTCAGAGAAGATGATTTTTAAATGTTGGCAAACTTGATGAACAAATTGTGTAAAATTGTCTTTAAAGGGCAATAACTCCTTAAGGGGTCAATTGACAATTATGGTCATTTAACTTTTTTGTAGATCTTACTTTCCTGAACATTATTGCTGCTTACAGTTCATATATATCTATAATAATATTCAAAATAATAACAAAAAACTGCAAAATTTTGTTAAAACTACCAATTCGGTGGCAGCAACCCAACAATGGGTTGTTCGATTCGTCTGAAAATTTCAGATCTGATAGATCTTGACCGCTTGAACAATTTTACCCCATGTGAGATTTGCTCTAAAAGCTTTAGTTTTTGAGATATAAGCCAAAACTGCATTTGACCCCTATGTTCTATTTTTAGCCATGGCGGCCATGTTTGTCGATGGATCAAAACTTCGGATACAATTTATAAACAAGATACCCTAAGGAACATTTAGTTGAAGTTTCAAGGTAATTGGCCCAGTAGTTTCAGAGGAGAAGATTTTTAAATGTTAGCAAACTTGATGAACAAATTGTGTAAAATTGTCTTTAAAGGGCAATAACTCCTTAAGGGGTCAATTGACAATAATGGTCATATTAACTTTTTTGTAGATCTTACTTTCCTGAACATTATTGCTGCTTACAGTTTACATATATCTATAATAATATTCAAAATAATAACAAAAAACTGCAAAATTTTGTTAAAACTACCAATTCGGTGGCAGCAACCCAACAATGGGTTGTTTGATTCGTCTGAAAATTTCAGAGCTGATAAATCTTGACCAATTGAACAACCTTACCCCATGTCAGATTTGCTCTAAAAGATTTAGTTTTTGAGATATAAGCCAAAAACTGCATTTGACCCCTATGTTCTATTTTTAGCCATGGCGGCCATGTTTGACGATGGATCAAAGCTTCGGATACAATTTATAAACTAGATACCCTAAGGAACATTCAGTTAAAGTTTGAAGGTATTTGGCCCAGTAGTTTCAGAGGAGAAGATTTTTTAAATAGTTTATGACGACAGACGACGACGACGACAACAGACGACGGACGAAGACGGACGCCAAGTGATGGCATAAGCTCACATGGGGCCCTTCGGGCCCCGGTGAGCTAAAAAGGCAGGACAGAAGTTTTGAGTAAAAAAAAAGGCAAAATGAGCAACTTGGCCAAAAAAAAAGGCAGGTTGACAAATTATGTATAAAAATTCATGATAAACTAATCAAAAAAAAAGGCAGGACCGACTCCCTAACATATATCAACTTGTGTATTGCAAAGAAAATGTAAAACTTGAATCTTTCCATTAATAACTTCATCAAACAAATTTGAAAATTACAAAATAAAATCACGGCTAAATTGGCTATTAAGGGCTGTACGCAAAGTAAAGTATCTGTTAAAATAACAGTATACAAAAGGGTTTAAATAGAAACCATAAACTAATGACAGATAACACAATTTGAAATAAAATGCTCCGCTGGGCGCAGCTTGATACGACCCCAGAGGTCGAACCCTGAACAGTTGGGGCAAGTATGGACACAAATTCAAGCTTGATACAGCACTGAATTTGGATTGTGATGAAATATTTGACACTGCATAGGTTTCTGACACAGAATGAATGTGGTCTAAGAACTTAAAAAATTTTAATTTACCTATTCAAATCATGCTTTTATATATAAATCAGAAATAACCAATTTAAAATAGAAAATTTTAAAGAAAACAAAGGAAAAAAAGGGGAAAAAAATCCCTCCCCCCAAATTTTTTGAATCCCCTTATGATTCATCACCCCCAAACTCAATCCCAGCCTTCCCTTTGTGGTGAGGTACCTTCCAGTACAATTTCAGAGAGATCCATACACAATTTATTGTCTGGAAACTAGAAAAATGCTTGTTTTTAGGCCCCTTTTTGGCCCCAAATTCCTAAACGTTTAGAGCAATTACCCTCAAACTCAAACCCTGCTTTCCCTTTGTGATATGGAACCTTTTAGTACATTTTCATAAAGATCCATACACTTACGCACAAGTTATTGTCCTGAAACTAGAAAAATGCTTGTTTTTTGCCTCTTTTTGGCCCCTAATTCCTAAAATTTTGAGGCAATTACCCCCAAAATCAATCTTAGCCTTCCCTTTGTGGTATGATACCTTGCAGTACAATTTCAGAGAGATCCACACACTTGAACACAAGTTATTGTCTGGAAACTAGAAAAATGCTTATTTTTGGCCCCTTATTCCTAAACGTTTTGGGCAATTACCCCCAAACTCAATTCCAGCTTTCCCTTCGTGATATGGAACCTTGTAGTACAATTTCAGAAAGATCCATACACTTACACACAAGTAATTGTCATGAAACTAGAAAAATGCTTGTTTTTTGCCCCTTTTTTTGGCCCCTAATTCCTAAAATTTTGAGGCAATTACCCCCAAAATCAATCCCAGCATTCCCTTTGTGATATGGAACCTTGTGGTACAATGTCAGAGAGATCCATACACTAACACACAAGTTATGCCTGGAAGTTACAAAAATGCTTATTTTTGGCCCCTTTTTGGCCCCTAATTCCTTAACTGTTGGTACCATAACCCCCAAAATCAATCCCAACCTTCCTTTTGTGGTATTGAACCTTATGGTAAAATTTCATAGAGATCCATTCACTTAAACTAAAGTAAAAGTGCGAAAACCAATGTGTCTTCGGACGACGACGACGACGCCAATATACAACTAGAGGCTCTAAAGAGCCTGTGTCGCTCACCTTGGTATATGTGCATATTAAACAAAGGACAAAGATGGATTCATGACAAAATTGTGTTTTGGTGATGGTGATGTGTTTGTAGATCTTACTTTACTGAACATTCTTGCTGCTTACAATTATCTCTATCTATAATGAACTTGGCCCAGTAGTTATAGTGGAAAATATTTTGTAAAAATTTACAAAAATTTACAAAATTTATGAAAAAATTGACTATAAAGGGCAATAACTCCTTAAGGGGTCAATTGACAATTTTGGTCATGTCGACTTATTTGTAGATCTTACTTAGCTGTACATTATTGCTGTTTACAGTTTATCTCTATCTATAATAATATTCAAGATAATAACCAAAAGCTGCAAAATTTTCTTAAAATTACCAATTCAGGGGCAGCAACCCAACAACGTATTGCCTGATTGGTCTGAAAATTTCAGGGCAGATAGATCTTGACCTGATAGTCAGTTTTACCCAATGTCAGATTTACTCTAAATGCTTTGGTTTCAGAGATATAAGCCAAAATCTACATTTTACCCCTATGTTCTATTTTTAGCCATGTCGGCTATCTTGGTTCGCGGGCGGGGTCATCGGGCACATTTTTTAAACTATATACCCTAATGATGATTGTGTAAAAGTTTGGTTAAATTTGTCTTAGTAGTTTCAGAGGAGAAGATTTTTGTAAAAGATTACAAAAATTTACGAAAAATGGTTAAAAATTGACTATAAAGGGCAATAATTCCTTAAGGGGTCAACTGACCATTTTGGTCAAGTTGACTTAATTGTAGATCTTACTTTGCTGAACATTATTGCTGTTTACAGTTTATCTCTATCTATAATAATATTCAAGATAATAACCAAAAACGACAAAATTTCATTAAAATTACCAATTCAGGGGCAGCAACCAAACAACGATTTGCCTGTTTGGTCTGAAAATTTCAGGGCAGATAGATCTTGACCTGATAAACAATTTTACCCAATGTCAGATTTGCTCTAAATGCTTTGGTTTCAGAGATATGAGCCAAAAACTGCATTTTACCCTATGTACTATTTTTTAGCCATGTCGGCCATCTTAGTTCGTGGGCGGGGTCATCGGACACATTTTTTAAACTATATACCCTAATGATGATTGTGGACAAGTTTGGTTAAATTTGTCTTAGTAGTTTCAGAGGAGAAGATTTTTGTAAAAGATTACAAAAATTTACGAAAAATGGTTAAAAATTGATTATAAAGGGCAATAACTCCTTAAGGGGTCAACTGACCATTTTGGTCAAGTTGACTTCATTGTAGATCTTACTCTGCTGAACATTATTGCTGTTCACAGTTTATCTCTATCTATAATAATATTCAAGATAATAACCAAAAACGGCAAAATTTCCTTAAAATTACCGATTCAGGGGCAGCAACCCAACAACAGGTTGTCAGATTCATCTGAAAATTTCAGAGCAGATAGATCTTGACCTGAAAAACAATTTTACCCCATGTCAGATTTGCTCTAAATGCTTTGGTTTCAGAGATATAAGCCAAAATCTACATTTTACCCCTATGTTCTATTTTTAGCCATGGCGGCCATCTTGGTTGGTTGACCGGATCACCGGACACATTTTTTAAACTAGATACCCCAATGATGATTGTGACCAAGTTTGGTTAAATTTGACCCAGTAGTTTCAGAGGAGAAGATTTTTGTAAAAGTTTACGGACGACGGACGACGGACGACGGACGACGGACGCAGGACGACGGACGACGGACGCAAAGTGATGAGAAAAGCTCACTTGACCTTTCAGGTCAGGTGAGCTAAAAAGAGAACAGATAAAAAAAATAAACAATTATCTACTAAACCTTTACAATGATAAGATATGTCTGGACAACATGAATCCTCCTATGAAAAAAAAAATTATCATAGAAAAGTAGGTCATCCAAAAAACTATTGTTATTTCAATCGTTATATACATTATGTCTTATATATATTCAAAATCAGTTACATAAATTAAAAGGCAGGACAGAGATTATAATTAAAAAAAAACAGGACAACATTTTACATCCTAGCCCCCTTCCCCTTCCCCCCATAAAAATCAAATGGTAGCTACCTACAACATATTTAGGGTACCGTAGAAGTTGTAGCACTTGACACTGGATGACTTACCTAGCATGTGGCCTCAGTAGAGGGAAAAGTGTGTTACACACATTCAGGGTACCATAGAAATTTGTAGCACATGACACTGACTGACTTACCTAGCATGTGGCCTAAGAAGAGGGAAAAGTGTGTTACACACATTAAGGGTACCATAGAAGTTTGTGGCACATGACACTGGGTGACTTACCTAGCATGTGGCCTCAGTAGATGGAAAAAAGTGTGTTACACATATTCAGAGTATCATAGAAATTTGTAGCACATGACACTGAATGACTTACCTTGAATGGATATTCATTAGAGGGAAAAGTGTGTAACACACATTCAGCGTACCATAGAAATTTGTAGCACGTGACACTGGATGACTTACCTAGCATGAGGCCTCAGTAGAGGGAAAAGTGTGTTACACACATTCAGGGTACCATAGAAATTTGTAGCACATGACACTGAATGACTTACCTAGCATGTGGCCTAAGAAGAGGGAAAAGTGTGTTACACACATTCAGAGTACCATAGAAGTTTGTAGCACATGACACTGTTGCTTGTTCACTGAATGGTGCTGTTGATGCTGCCTGCAATATAAAAAGATAACAATGGGGCTACAGGGGTATTGATTTCATGGTATAATTTAATAATTTTGCACATGAGGTCTTACATTGAGTATGTGTGTCAGTGCTGAAGCACATTTTGCTTTTGAGGGCTGATACAGATATGCATATGAGGGTGGAAATAGATTTTGTACATGAGGGCTGATACAAATTTTGCATGTGAGCCTTATACAGATTTGGCACATGAGGGCTTAAACAAATTTTGAACTAGAGCTAATACAGATTTAGCATGCAAGGGTTGATGCAGATTTTGCTTTTGGTGGCTGATATGGATTTGCAAGTGAGGTCTGATACATATTTTACATGTGATGGCATAGATTTTGCATGTGAGCGCTGATAAAAATTTTGCATGTGATGGCATATATAGATTTTGCACATGAGGGCTGATACAGATTTTGCAAGTGAGAGCCTATACAGATTTAGTATTTTTAGGGTTGATACAGATTTTGCATGCAAGAGCTGATTCAGATTTTGCATGTAATGGCTAATTTAAGCACTCCAATTTGCATAAGAAACCTGTATCAGCATTTCAATATCATCCTTCTAGTCTGTTATTTTTTCTTTTGTTTATGTCATAACAGCAAGGCAAAATTAATCATTGATCTACTAGTAATAAGTATTTTACCATAAGATTACCTTGAATGCAATACCAGCATTGTTTACAAGAACATCAATTCCACCATATTGTTCTTTAACAAAGTCCCTTAGCTTGTTAATGGAAGTTTGATCATCAAGGTCCATCTGATGATATTTAGGTGACATCCCTTGCTTCTGCAGCTCTGCAACAGCAGCCTTACATCTCTCCTCACTTCGTCCTACAATTATTTGTTTAAAAGACAATGAATAAAAGCACAGAGTTCCAATGTCCCCCGCATTGCACATGTTTTATATATCAAGGTACAAAAGGCAATAACATATATTTTTTAGGTTCTTTAAAACTTTTTAGTTTAAACATATTTGTTTATAGTAAATTGGGAAACAAGTTATTGCAACTTATATTAGTCCCTTTCCACTTTGAGGGTGCGAGTGCTGCCTTGTAGCGGCATTAGCCTGTTCTTATTCGAAATCTACAAAGGTGTCTTTTACATGCAAGAGATATGGCTGTCTCTTAACACAGGTCAGCCAATTATTGTCCCCATCCGACGGACTATCATCGTTTCTCAAGACCATACTTGCAAATGGTGTCAAGGGAGAGCCGAAAATTCAGTTCCTGAAATTTCTCCCCGAAACGATGATCGAACCAGGAACCTTTGTGTTAGTAGTCTGATGTGCTAACCACTACACCATGGCTCTTTTTTTATAAATATCTTAGAAAAATGAAGGTATCAGAGCAAATGCAATGTGATTTCCTTTCTAATTAATATTTCCAAGGGGCATAACTCATTATAAAAATTTGATGAGAACTTCATTTTAGAAAGTGTGAAAGACATTAATTGCTGATATTAATCTATGTTTTTTAGTTTCATAAAATTCTGGCCAGAATTGAACATATGAGAGCGCTAACAATGCAATATTCCATATAATCAATATTTCCAAGGGGCATAACTCTTTTAAAAATAATTGATCAGCACTGATTTGTGTACTCGTCAAAAACATTGATGTTATTGACCTATAATATAAATTTCATAAATATCTGTCAAGAATTTTACACATTAAGGCTCTCATAAGGCAATTTTCATTATATTGTATATTTCCAAGAGGCATAACTCTTTCAAAAATGATTGATTGGCACTGATTTTCAAACTCATGAAAAACTTTGCTGATATAGACCTTTAACATTCTGGCAAGAATTGTACACATCAGAGCGCTAACAATGCAATTTTCTTCATTGAATAATGTCAAGACAGTACTTTTATATCACTCTCAACTCATTGCACTGGTGACAAAAAAGTGTGAATACATCATATTAAAAATATAAAGGTCATATGTACATGATGTAATGTATGTAAGATGTGGGAAATGGACCATTTCTTACAAACAGAGAGGGTAAGTTTGGAACCAATTGATGCAGAAGGATCCTGGAAGTTAAAGATGACTCTTTTTCTCATAGCATTTAAAAGGGATAAATCTTTTTGTAAGCAGTTTAAAAAAGAAATTAATAATTAACTTTCTGTTAACTTGTCGTTTGTAGTTTGTATACCGTATATGTTTTTAGTTCATTGCTTTGTTCATAAATCAGGCAGCTAGTTTTCCTCATTTAATTTGTGGCCTTTTATGGCTGACTATGCAGTATTAGTTTTACTCATTCTTGAAGGTTCTACAGTGATCTATAGTTGTTAACTTCTATGTCATTTGATCTCTAGTGGAGAGTTGTCTCATTGGCAATCATGCCACATCCATTCTTATATTAGCAAAATTGGCATATTGTTTTGCACTTGGAATATGGTTTTATATCCAACCAGTGGGATAGCTACGTCATTTCTATAAAGTGTACGCCCGAACCTTGGCGAGGGTTTGAGGGACCCCAGTGGGTCAAGATCAGCCGGAGGATCTCTTGATAGTGGTTTCTAGGGAGCAGAGGTCCCGGAAGCTATTTACACATTATAGAAAGAGATACCATTTCTGTCATTTAAAACTCATCAATAGCACATACTTTTAAATCTAATTTGTTTATGTTCATGTGTACAAATGTATTTTAAAATGAACAACAAAATGTGAATGGTCATTGGTTTTAGAGAAAAATGTCAACACCAGCTACTGTAAAATTTGATGAAAAGGATATTAGGGGTAAAACAAGAGGCTCTCAAGAGCCTGAATCGCTCACCTGTTATATTTTTTGCTTAAATCTTTCATCAGTGATTATTTTTGCTTTTCAATATATATTAATGAGCGGCTTTAAAATGCCATTTAAATGTTCATTGTATCTGTCATATTTTCTTCAAAAGCAAATAAATGCATTCTACCCATATGTTCCATTATAGCCATAGTGTCTATGTTTCCTGACGTACAAGGAAATAAAATACAAAATTTATACTAGATTCTTTTGAGAAGATTTTTAATGTTAAAAAACATAAACACCTTGTGTAAGATTGTCCTTAAAGGGCAATAACTCCTTAAGGGGTCAATTGACAATTTTGGTTATTAAACATTTTTGTAGATCTTATTTTGCTGAACATTTTAGCTGTTTACAGTTTATCTTTATCTTCAATGATATTCAAGATAATAACCAAAAACTGCAAAATTTACTTAAAATAACCAATTTAGTGGCAGCAACCCAACAATAGGTTATTCAGTTTGTCTGAAAATTTCAAGGCTGATAGATCTTGACCTTTTGAACATTTTTATACCATGTCAGATTTGCTCTAAATGCTTTAGTTTCTGAGATATAAGCCAAAAACTGCATTTGACCCCCATGTTCTATTTTTAGCCATGGTGTCCATGTTTTTCAATGAATCAAAAATTCGGATACAGTTCATAAACTAGATTCCTAAAGGAACATTCATTTAAAGTTAAGAAGTATTAGGCACAATAGTTTCAGGGGAGAAGATTTTTAAATGTTAGCAAACTTGATGAACAAATGTGTAAAATTGTCTTTAAAGGGCAATAACTCCTTAAGGGGTCAGTTTACAATTTTGGTCATATTAACTTTTTTGTAGATCTTACTTTGCTGAACATTATTGCTGTTTACAGTTTATATCTATCTTTAATAATATTCAAGATAATAACAAAAAACTGCAAAATTTCCTTAAAACTACCAATTTAGTGGCATCAACCCAACAATGGGTTGTTCGATTCGTCTGAAAATTTCATGGCTGATAGATCTTGACCAATTGAACAATTTTACCCCTGTCAGATTTGCTCTTAAAGCTTTAGTTTTTGAGATATAAGCCAAAAACTGCATTTGACCCCTAGGTTCTATTTTTAGCCATGGCGGCCATGTTTGTCGATGGATCAAAGCTTCGGATACAATTTCTAAACTAGATACCCAAAGGAACATTAAAATTTGAAGGTATTTGGTCCAGTAGTTTCAGAGGAGAAGATTTTTGAAATAGTTTACGACGACGACGAAGAACGATGGACGGCAACAGACGCCAAGTGATGGCATAAGCTCACATGGGGTAGAGCTAAAAATCAATCAACAACTTAATCCAAAAGTAAAAAGTAAGTAAAAAAAACAAGTTTCCTTTTCAATGTTGTCAATCTATTAATTAGTTTTGACTTCATCTAGCTTTTTCTCAATTTTATGCGCAAATTTTGTTAATGGACACATGAACAGTCAAGGATATAACTCTATAGGGTTATTACAGAAAAATAACATACATTTGTTATTGTGGACTAAAAAATCAAAGAACTGTGATAACATATGTATGTTACATGTTTCAAAGGGGTAATATACATCATTAGTTTTGTTAAAATGTATACAGGTTCTATTGATATTACTATTGTATTTATGTATACTTAACTATAGAAAGATATAACAGTTCATAGCTTGCCAATCATGCATAGTACACCTATGTTATTACAGAAAAAATATGCCTATAATAACTAACGGGTGTTATTACAGCTCCTCTACATCACTCCTAAGCATTTGCTCAGACATTCATCATGCTTAATTACAATGTATTTTAATTTATTGTAAGAAATAATGATCAGAGCATGTAATGAGGTTCTGCGCAAGCTTCCCAGTAATTCCCAAGTGTCTTATATAATAAGTTAAATGCCTTTAATAACTAAGCCTTGTTATTACAGCTAAGTTTATCCCTTAAAAGCCTCGTCTCATTGATTTACCATGGTTAATGAAAAATGTATTAATTTAATTCAAAAATTAGTTATCAAGGCTATGCATTTAGTTTCTGCGCAAAGTTTCAAGAGTTCCCTAGAGCCTACTAAAAATCAAAATATTTATGATTTATTTTACAAATAACAAACATATGTTATTACAGATTTAGAAAATTTAAGGATTAAAGAGTAGACAACTCATGAAAGTATCTGTAATAACACATGCAAGTTATTTTCTGTAATAACCCTATAGAGTTATATCCCTGACTGATGAAATATAATCATTTTTTTTATAGATGGTCAGGAGGTGTAATTTGAATATTTGTTAAGGGTTCCTCGGAACCCTCTGTCTCCCTTTGGAACTGCTGCTGTCAGTCTACAAGTGTTATATTAACTGTACATGTAATAATTGAATCCATTTACCAATCAAATACATGATTAAACAAGTCAATGTTTTCTTGAGATGCTTTTCCTTAATCTTGAAGATTAGCTTCTGCCCAAGTTTGATAACAATTTATAAAGTTTACAAATTTATTTTCTAAAAAAAGGACTGTTAAGTGCAAAAAAGGTAAGTCCGTCTGTCAGTTAAATACTGAAAAATGAAAAAAAAAAATATGCTTTAAAAAATTCTCCTCAGAAATGACCCTTTTATCATTAAAAAAATGCTTATGCCAAAGTTTCATAAAATTCGACAAAGTAATTGATATGTCACATCAGAATAGAGAGTGGAAACTGAGAATGTGTCAAAGAGGCAACAACCCGACCAAAGAGCAGAAAACTGCCTAAGGACACCAATGGGTACAACTATAACACACCAGGAAACAAACTTTATTTGAATTGAACTGTTTCATATTTTTATTGTGGGGCATTTTATAGCGGACTATATGGTATGATTTTTTCTCATTGTTGAAGGCCGTACAGTTGCCTATAATTGCTTACATCCACTTTAGCGTCGACAAAACTGCAAACCACATATCATATATCAGCAGATCTATAATTGATTGCTTTTAAGGAATAGGAAAATGAGTAGAATTCACAGTGGATTCAGACTTTGACAGAAAATGAACCAATGTATAATCTGATACAATTTGATTAAAAAAGTTATTTGCGTCTATTTTATCTTCAATGACATGTAATTAAAGAAAGAATTACAAGGCTTAATGTTTGCTTTCAACAAGTTCTTTTAATATATTATCTATTTAATCTATATACAGTAGATGGATATGTTTTTCCCAAAATTTAGGTGCACGCCCGGGCGTTTTGGCGTAAACACAGCTACGTGCATGCAAACAGGTCAAAGAATTCTTCTGTCTGAAAAAAAAAACATGCAAGTCAGTCCAAATAATACAAATTTATCAACTTGGTGTTGCCTGTTTTAATTTTTCAAACAGCCTCATAAATTTCAAGAAATGAACAATTTTGTGTAAATCATTTATTCATTATTTATAATTTATTCATTATTCATAATTTATTCATTGATTCAAATTTATTCATGCTTAGCTTTCTTACCTGTAAGGAGAACATCACCATCAAACTGTTTACATAAGGCCTGAACTACAGCATAACCTATTCCTTTGTTGGCTCCAGTCACCTGTATAAGTGATGTAAATATTTGTTTAATTATTTTACCATTAAGTTTTCAGTTCATCTAAATTATGAGTTGTATAGAAATATGTAGCATAACTGTTAACTAAAAGATGTACAAACTATAAAAGTACATGTAGACAATGAACAACTGTACCAAATCCTAAGGGTTTATATCGAGATGATTAAGAGTTGTCTCCCCTTCCATATATACAATGTATATGGTGGATAAATTTGGTCTGCTTTTCCATCTTTAAGCTCTGTCTCAAAAGAACTAGTGTCTAATTTATCCGGAGATATGACATTTTGTAGTAATTCCTAGAGGGATTGATATTGAGTTGGTTATAGTTGACTCCCTTTCCATACATTTCAGATGGATATAAAATATACATGTGTAAATATTTTTTTACAGAATCAATATGCCACTTATTCATATCAATCATTCTTAACTGGATGTCATGTACATATTTAACCCTTGGCCTCGGTGGCAAGTGGTCTAAGTAGTTCTACTACTATAATCACTAGCCAGTCAACACTGAGGTTGTGAGTTCGAACCCCTGCTCTTGCGGGTGCACTCAACTGCAATCTTAATTGACTAGGATTGTCAGTTTTCCTATCTAAGGTCGTGGTTTTCACCAAGGCACTCCGGCTTCCTCCATCTATAAAAACTGACCGCCACAAAATAGACCAAATGTGGCGCCTAAAAGTGGTATTGAAACACCAACAATCAATCAATCAAATTTAACCTAATGTATTGTTAATTATCATGATCAATTCTGTCCTTTAATGATATCTTGAATTAGAAAAATGCTGATAATTTATCTACATTAACGAGGGTCTGTATTTTTTTTATTTTTTAGGTCATTTTTCTCTATTCTTTAAACTTTTTGCCCATCATTCTTTATTCTTTAAACTTTTTGCTTGTTATTCTCTATTCTTAATACTTTTTGCCCATCATTCTTTATTCTTTAAACATTTTGCTTGTTTTTCTCTTTTCTTAATACTTTTTTGCCCATCATTCTTTATTAGGTCTTTCCACTTTTCTGTGGAAAGACCTATTGTATTTGTTCTGATTATTATTATTAGGTCTTTCCACTTTTCTGTGGAAAGACCTATTGGTTTTCTTTTGATTATTAGGTCTCTCCACTTTTCTGTGGAAAGACCTATTGGTTTTCTTCTGATTATTTTTTTTTTTTTTTCTTCCGCCTAATTTTGTTCTTGCGATAAATATTTGTTTCGCAATATGTCGCTTAGATATTTGGTATATGATATCAAACAGTATATGCGCCTTTGAAATTTACCCTGCGAAACCAAATAATTTTCTTTGTAGGAGTTATCTCCCCGAACACTGTTTTCCTTGTGCACGCATCTCCTCCGTAACCGTAAAAGAAAGCAACAAATTTATTTTACCAAATTGCTCGTTATATCCTCAGGATGTTTTGTCCAATTTTGACCGAAGCGATACGTAAACTCCATATGAGAGTTATTTCCCCTTCTGTATTTGACATAAGGGATATATAAATGTATAGCATGAATGGTAAGTGATAAGAGACCAAAGGTATATTGATTTGAGTTCCTTGGTTCATTAAAATGAAATTGAGGCCAAGGTCAAAGGTCAAGGTCATATTCTAAATTTTAACTTTTCCTTGTTATTTGATCTCCTCTGTCACTTTTAAAATTACAAATTAAAGAACTAGTGCAAAATTTTTGCTTAATTGTGATTAAGATATGATACATTTGGTCTGAAATAATCCAATGATATCTTATATGAGTTATTGTCCCTGAAATGATTCAATTTAAGGTTAATTGATTATTACTCCAACTTGGTACATGATAAAGCCATAAGATCTTTTGCAAAATGTTGGGTGACATATGACCTTGAAAATGTCAACCGGAAGTGACCTTGAGTGAACCGGAAGTAGTCATTTTTGCACTTATTTCATGTAAAAGTACATAGAAACCATATATTTTTTGAATGGTCATACATTAATCTATCATTTGAGACTGGAAGTGATATTTTATAAACCAGAAGTAGCATATTATCTCCCCTTATTACCGGCATAAGTATATAAAAACCATATATTTTTTGAATCAGTGTAAATAAAGCTATCATATGAGACCGAAAGTGACATTTTCTAAGCCGGAAGTAGCCAATTATCTCCCTTTTTACAGGCAAAAGTATATATAAACCATATATTTTTGGAATCAGTGTAAATAAATCTATCATATGAGACCGGAAGTGACATTTTCTAAACCGGAAGTAGCCAATTATCTCCCTTTTTACAGGCAAAAGTATATATAAACCATATATTTTTGGAATCAGTGTAAATAAAGCTATCATATGAGACCGGAAGTGACATTGTCTAAACCGGAAGTTGACAATCATCTCTCTTATTTCAAGCAAAAGTCTAAAGAAACCATATGTTTATTGAATCAGTATGAAGAAACCTATGATTGGACGCCAATAGTAGCTTTGAGTAAACCAGAATTAGCTTCTCATCAATTATTTAGAGAATTGATGTGATAATACCTTCAATTGTTCTTTGAACAATTGGTTTTTAATTTTTTTTTTCTTCCGCCAAATTTTGTTCTTGCGATAAATTTTTGTTTCGCAAGATGTGGCTTAGATGTTTCGTATATGATATCGAACAGTTTATGCGCCTTTGAAATTGACCCTGCTTAACCGAATACTTTTCTTTGTAGGAGTTATCTCCCCGAACACTGTTTTCCTTGTGTGTGCATCTCCTCCGTAACCATAAAAGAAAGCAACAAATTTATTTTACCAAATTGCTCATTATATCCTCAGGATGTTTTGTCCAATTTTGACCGAAGCAATACGTAAACTCCATATGAGAGTTATTTTCCCTTCTGTATTTGACATAAGGGATATATAAATGTATAGCATGAATGGTAAGTGATAGAGACCTAAGGTATATTGATTTGAGTTCCTTGGTTCATTTAAATGAAATTGAGGCCAAGGTCATATGTCAAGGTCATATTCTAAATTTTGACTTTTCCTTGTTATTTGATCTCCTCTGTCACTTTTAAAATTACAAATTAAAGAACTAGTGCAAAATGTTTGCTTAATTGTGATTAAGATATGATACATTTGGTCTGAAACAATCCAATGATATCTTAAAGGAGTTATTGTCCCTGAAATGATTCAATTTAAGGTTAATTGATTATTACTCCAACTTGGTACATGATAAAGCCATAGGGTCTTTTGCAAACTGTTGGTTGACATATGACCTTGAAAAAAGTAACCGGAAGTGACCTTGAGTGAACCGGAAGTAGTATTTTTTGCACTTTTTTCATGGAAAAGTACCTAGAAACCATATATTTTTTGAATGATAATAGGTTAACCTATCATTTGAGACCGGAAATCTCATTCAAACATCAGTCACGTCTCAGTCATTACAACTGAACGGACGTGCTGGGTCAGCTCTCCTTTACCCGCTATCTTCGATGAGGGTTTACTGTTAGATGGATCAACGACTTACTACTTTCGATGACAGAAACCAATCCAACGCTGTACAGACTACGTTAGGCTTTAATCGGCGTAGGGCTAATTCCCGTGTCAACATACACTCCAAAACCCATTATGGATTGGGGAATGGTATGCCGAGTGACGTCCGAGGGCTGTATCCTAGGTGTTAGATGATGGACCACCTTTTCACTGTCTCACGACTTTGGTCCTGATAATGCTTCCTGTCATCGTTAATACTACGTCCGAGACTCATCTACCAGTACTCCATTATCGAGGTTAGCGGGCTGCCAAGCTGACCAATCTGGCCCTGAAAGCAGCCGTTGTGAAGACATAACATCAAAATAGTCAACAAAAGAAAAACCAAAACAACTCACAAAACCAAGATGGCGGGCTACCAAAATGGCGTCCTCCACCTGTTCCTGACCAATGGCACAAAATTATTTAAACGCTCACCAAACGCCTTCGGGCACCGAGCCGACTGTGCGAGGGATGTATATCCAGTCAAGGTCGTAAAACACTTCCAGTAGACTGGAAGTGACATTTTATAAACCGGAAGTAGCATATTTTCTTCCTTATTACAGGCAAAAGTATATAGAAACCATTTATTTATTGAATCAGTATGAAGAAATCTATACTTTGACGCTATTAATAACTTTGAGTAAACCAGAAGTAGCTTCCTATCAATTATTTAGAAAATTGATGTGGAAAGACCTTCAATTGTTCTTTGAACAATTGGTTTTTAATTATTATTATTTTTTCTTCCGCCTAATTTTGTTCTCGCGTAAAATTTTTGTTTCGCAAGACGTCGCTTAGATATTTCTTATATAGTATCATACAGTTTATGCGCTTTTTATTTTCACCCATTCTAAGCCGAACAATTTTCTTTGTAGGAGTTATTTCCCTGAACACTGTTTTCCTTGTGACTGCATCTCCTCTGTAACCGTAAAAGAAAGCGACAAATTTATTTTACCAAATGGCTCGCTATATCCTCAGGATTTGTTGTCCAATTTTGACGGAAGCGATACGAAGACTCCATATGAGAGTTATTTCCCCTAATGCATTTGAAATAAGTGATATGCAGTTGTAACTGGTAAACCATAAGTGATAGAGACCTAGGGTCTGTTGATTTGAGGTCCTTGGTCCTAAAGAATAGAAAACTAGGTCAAGGTCAAAGGTCAAGGTCATGTTGTGGTTTTTTACATTAGGTTCATATCGCTTCTTCCTAGAAAGAATTATAGATATCAACAAAACAATTTAACCAAAAAGTTTGTCGCGACACGTGTTTACTAGAAATTTTTTGTTGAAATGGCACGCGTCATTTTATTGCAGGGTCAATGTCCCTGTTATGGTCGAATCAACAAATTACTTATCAAAACTTCAAACTTTGCAGCTATCATGTTGTAAATGTTTCTTATCTCAATAATGAACCACAGTCTACCACTACACTCCCCCCCCCTTTTTTTCAACTGATTTTTTTTTTAAGTTATCCCATTTCAAAGAAAAGAAGATCGCTTTTAGTCCCGTACATTATACTGTAAAATGCTAATCCTTCTTATGTACAAATTTCTTTCTGAAATAGAAATCCATCCCTGCAAAAATCTGCTCCAATTCATGTATTTTCTGAAATTAATCGATGAGGCACGTGCGGTCCGCTTGATTGCGAAATTAAAATCAATGTATTACTGAAGTCCTACACTCAAATTTCTAAACATGCATTAAAATACAAATCTGTGCTCCCGTGAACATGTGTACGTAATATGTATGCATGATCCGACATCAATGACCTGTACAAAATAAAAACAATAGTTATCGTGTTTCTTTGATCAATACACATGTGCTCTGTTCAACGGTCTCCCCTGAAAAGAAATTAATATATTAATATTAATAACTCCAGACATATATATTCGAGGGTCACGTGACTTCACAACACCATCTCGCGCGCAGACCTAAATTTAGAATAAAACATTGCATATCCAAATGAGGAAAATAAAACTTCCAAGATAAAATTTACTCAGTTTTCCTACAAATTCAATCATAATGCATACACAACAAATAGATGAAAAATGGAAGTCCGAGGTAACATAGAAACTAGAGAAAATTTATAAACGAATGATGCTAGGATCAATTTTTATGAGGACATCTCAGGCGTCCGTTTGGCTGTGCAGGATGTCTAAGTACGCAGTCACGTTCGGTCAGAATATAGGCGTTATTTAAGTTAGCTGCGTCGCACAGAGAAAGTGCCATGAAATCAATCAATCAATCAATCAATCAATCAATCAATCGACCGACCAACCAACCAACCAACCAAGCAAAAAACCAATTAATCATGTTTCGGAGGGGAAAGACCGTTTAACAATTGTTTTTAAAACAATTGATTTATATTTCTTTAAACTTTTTGCTTGTTATTCTCTATTCTTATACTTTTTGCCCATTATTCTCTTTTCTTTATATTTTAGCACCTCATTATTCTGTATTCTTTTTATTTATGTCCATTTTTCTCTATTTTATAAATCCCAATCAACACCCTCATTACCACAGGCACTTGTCTCCGATTTTTTTTTTATATAGAACTTATAATATAACATGTTATATTACTTACCCTTCCGGAGCACCTGAGATCACACCCAGTTTTTGGTGGGGTTCGTGTTGCTAAGTCTTTAGTTTTCTATGTTGTGTCATCTGTACTATTATTTGTCTGTTTGTCTTTTTATTTTTGGCCATGGTGTTCAGTTTTGTCAGTTTGTTCTCGATCTATGAGTTTGACTGTTCCTCTGGTATCTTTCGTCCCTCTTTTACAGTATATATAAAAAAAAATCTGAGAAAAGTGTCTGTGCTCATTACTGGTTTTGGGTCAAAATATGAAAATGTTTGGAGGCAGTGCAACACTTTAGACAGAAAATGTTGATTTGATTGATGTTTTTCTGATGAAAGTCAGTTAAGAAATGAGAAAGTAAAGTTATTGTTAAAAGAGCAATATAGATTGATTGATGGTTGGTTCCTTAACGTCAAGTGGCAAATATTTCATGATTGTTCAGGAGCAAAATAGAGAAATCATGTAAAACTGGCTTCACAGGTTTGTTTAATCAAATTTTTATAGCACTGTATGTAGCATCTTTGGCAGTCTGGAAATAAGACTTATATGATTTATTACGGTGAAATTGCTTCAACTGATGATATGCATGGTTAAGAGGTCGAACCAAGCAGAATTTTTCTATTGTGATTTGAAGAACAATGTTCTTATTGAGTACCATTATATCCTTATTTATTTTTTCAGTAAAAAATTGACTATTTAAATTTAGCATTAAAATTGTGGTTTTTTTGTCATTATATGAAGATTTTTCATTATTTCACTTATTACAAAAATGTACACCACAGAAGTAAATAAGCTACATGTACGTACTATGATACTGAGATAGTGAATGTCATTCTTGCTATCATTTGAAATATCATAATAATACTATAAACCAACAATTTTTGGCAAGCAATTTGTTTTTCGCGAAATAACACGAATATAAATCGTCACAGATACATCAAACTTGGATGTTCTCCTGTGTAAAGACATCAATAAAATTAGAACATCACGAAAATAAATCACCGTGAAGTGGAATAGAAAGGACTTAACACAAAATAAAGTATTGCAATAATAAGTTGATTTACAGTATTTATATACATAATATAAGAATAGCAATAATAAAAATTGCTGGACAAAGAGTTGAGGGGCCTGATGGGGGGTCTCATCACGATTCACGAGTTGATTTTTTTGTCAATCACGATTCACAGAAAATAAATTTCCATGATCACGGATCACGAAAATATAAAAAAAAAAAATCTGTAGAAAACGGATCACGATAGCGAAAATGCGCCGATCACGAAGAACGAAAATAACCCATCAGGCCCCTCAGAGCTTCTATAGTCAGTTTCTTAATTTTAAGGGAAAAGGAAAACTGTTTTCAATTTGTTTATAACCTAGGCACTTTCTACCATTGAATGTTAAAAGTGACAAAGCCTTAAATAATATTTTCAAGAACTCAATATTTCATTCATTTGTTTTTCACCTTGCGTCCCAATTTAAAATAAAAATTATGAATTTAATACAATGACCATTCAAGAAAATCTTCCTTGTTATATCTGTCAGTCAGGGGTTATACTTATACAGGTGTTTATTTTTATTATAAATTATATTGGGGGTAGAGTAATATATCCCTTTGAAATTCAAATGTTCTTTATTTATATAAGTAAACATGTCTTATTTTCTTGAATCTCTCTTGACTTCTTTGCTCTATAGAGTGTTTTAATGTTCATTAACAGTTATCTTTACTATATATCATGTATATAAAAGTATAATTTCATAGAAAATGAAAATATCCCTTGTCTTTTATCTTCAAAATACTGCCCATTTACAGCAGTTCATGAAGGCCTTGTGCAGTTACTTAAATGTAACAACGTTAACTGTGTGCAATAGAGTTCTTTTTTTTAGTTTTTGAGATCAAAAGTTGATCTCTGATTAATAAATAATCAGCAAACCAGAAAAATTTTGTTTAAATATGTTGTTAGTCCAAAAGTTAAGAATATAAGGGGTTGTAAAAAGAAATTACTTTTATAAGTAAATTTTTAAAGAGGATTAAGGGGAGATTATTCAAACTTTGAAAATATATACATGATATACATGTAAGAATAAAAATCTTACAAATTTTGCATCTTTAATCTTTAAGCTTTTCTATTGACAGTATTCAGGTAGGTAAATAATTTCAAATGTGAGGCAAGGAAGTAAAAAGTTCATTTCCACTCCAAGTCTTTAAGTTTGAGAAACAACATAGTGTAAAATTTTAAATATTGATACATTCGTGCATATTTCTACATGTACATCATGTACATGTTGGCAAGGATTTGTATAGTGACAAGATTATTCAACCGAGTTCACACATTTTCCTGACCAAACATACATGTACATGCTTTTTACATGTAATTTAAATAATGCTCAATTACCATACTCATTACTTTCAATAACATGCACAATTGTAATGCATCACCCAAAATACAATTACATTTTCAATTACCCCATCCCTGATCATCATGATCATGACAAACAAAGATCTGCTTCATATTTTTTTCTTATTATGACACAGAAATTACTATTTTTTCATCTGTAAAGTGTCCTTTTTTAAAAACAAGAAAGTTTATCCCCCACACTTATATAAACAAGAAATTTTTTGAAATGACAGAATTACACAAAGAATCGTAAAGCACTGTTTTCTGACTGGCAAATTTTCAAGATGCACATGTTTGTTTGCACTCAGAGTAAATAGTGTGGTGTATAAAAATTGCTAATTGAGCCTAAAAGTTGAGATAACCCTGTATTGGAAGAATGCAATTACCAACACGTATAATGTTTATAATTTACAAAATGTCTTTGAACTGAGGAATGAAACAACATGTATTCTTCAGTATTGAAGCCTTGTTGACCTAAAAGAAGAAAGAAGAAGAAACAGATGACAAAACAATTCCTTTCTTTTATATATATATATGACGCCAATTCAAAGACTTTAATTTCTGTTATTAGAGGTGTTCCATAGGAAGCTTATACAGAGAAGACGAAGTACAGTATCACCTAAGACTACTATCTGCTATAGCAGTCTCAGTTATCATGATTACTTACAATTGCAACTCTTTTTGCCATTTTGAACGAGCTTGGAATTATGTTCCTTCAAGCGGCTCGTGTTCTAGAATTTAAACTCAAAGATAAACTACGAATCAAATCGGATTGTGAAAGACACCATTACGGTAAAGTTGACAAAATGGCGGTAACCTTTTGTTTAGGGGGTATCTCAAGGTGTACAACAACCACATGTAATAACGATAACTTTTTTTGTTTATTATATGTGACCAGCCATGAGATTTTCATGCTTATGGATGTACCAGGGCCAAGATGAGTTTTTTGAATCTTTTTGGAGTATACATAGATTTTAAACACCCTTGCAAGTTATTTTGCTAGATTCTTCAAAATAACAAAATTCATGTTTTGTTAGCTTCGATTTTATAACTTTTTTCTTCAATTTTTGAAATATGTTCATGTTGTACAGTTGTTATGTCATATTGTGTTTTTTTGTTTTTTTGTGTTTTGTGTGTGTGTGTGTGGTTTTTTGTTTTTTGTTTTTTTTTTTTTTTGGGGGGGGGGGTCAAGTCTTTTTCAATTAATCAAAATGAAATTGTAACTTTAAGTTTAACATGTTTAATAACTAAATAACTGAAGAATTTAAATTCGGTTGCCATTGCAAACAAATTCATGGTGAATTTAATATTTTTCTTTCTTTCTTAGGGATAACTACATCAATGCTAAGAAAGTGAATACCAAGATATAATATACCATCAAGGAGATGTATATTATTTAATATGCTTTCAAATTTTCATCTGTTATCTTATTGTGAATACATATTGTACATAGTGATTAAATCAGTGACCTGTTCATGCAGTCTGATTTTAATCAGACTGATGACATCAGTGTTTTTTTTTTATAAAAATAAAAATATAAAAACTTATCAACTATTGCCAGTAGGTTTATGAATAATAATGGAAGACGATAATGGTATGCCAAGTCTATAAAGTAGGACACTTGGATTCTTCTAGAAGATTTGGCCCACTCCCACACTACGGTAGGTGAAAATGAGAACATCGATCTGAGCTATCGTAATTTGTGAAAACTCAAGACTCCTATTATTCAAGTCACAACAACTATATAATGTTCCATCTAATAATAAAACAGAATTGCTAGGGATGGAAAATAAAGTTTTATTGTAAAAAAAAGTAATATAAAATGCGGTTTTGCATGTATATAATGATAAGATATAAATATAAAACAAAATAGCAATAAGCTTTCAAAAGTGAGGCTGACAGTTATCAACAAATCATAAAAAAAAACAATTTAAATTGCGGCTACTATAAACTAGAATTATCCATAAATGAGTTCAGCATAGCTTATTAAATCGTCATCCCCATTTCTTAATAGTTCTGTCAGACACAAAGTCCCCTTTGGGACTAGTTGTTCCAGGTGGAAGCATCGCTACATACACTGGTGTATCTGCTCCTGTAAAAACAAAGAAAGAAACATATTTATAACACTGTATATTTTGAATTTAAATATTCAGCATAATTGTTATTTGTATATGCATTTTAATTTCCTGAGCCACACACACTTTCGTTTAATGGTAGGTCATGACCACAATCAAAATGGCGGTAAAATGTTTATTTCTTTTTGAAAAAAAATACGTTTTTGTTTGAAATGTTATGTTCCCAGTTAGGAAAGCCATGAAAACTTTGTCAGAAGTTGTCAAAATGTCATATGTTAATGATTCTTTTTGTTTCTAGTATTTCAATGGAGAATTTGGTGTAGACGCCATATAATCAGTTTTCTTGTTTCCGTTTAATTCATTTCCAACTGTTGTAGACTCGAGATGTTTTAGAGCTTGACACATTGAAAAGACACTGTGGCATTCTATCATCGAAAACCGTATGTTACCCTCTAGATGTCTCCTGGCTATTTATAGTTAGGTTTCTATAGCGAGAGAGAGAGGATACATGTAGTATGATTACCTTGTTCTACTGTTTTAGTTCCTTTGTGTGAAGTCATATCAGTATCAACATATCCAGGATCACACTGAAAATATGAAAAATATAAAAATTATTTGGCGTTCCTAACTCTTGGTAGCATGTTCATGATGTATATGCAAAATAATAGTGTATAGTCATTCTGGAATTTGTAGATTTTTGTTTATGTATAATTGCACTAAAAGCTTTGCATTCTTTGTCAGCTACGTATATGAAAAGAAAAACTTTAACTTAATTTTAAAAAAATAACCTGAACCATGACCTTTATTAGGTTAAAAGTTGGAGAACTAGAACCAAAGTGTTGATAACAGCTAAACATTAGCACTCTGGGTTAGTTGAGCTAAATATTATTTACTTACTGCATTCACAACAATATCCTCTCTAGGGTCAGAGTTCAATTCTCTCTGCTGTATGAAGCTCATCACGGTAACACCAACCTTAGACATTCCATAGCTCCAGTCAGCAAATCCTTCTTTTTGGTGACTGCCAGTCTGTGCAGCACTAAAATAGGGTTAAACTGATTACATAAACATAAGTATAATTTTCATTGTTATGATGTTTATTCTCTCTATATCTTTGTTATAAGGAATAAGGAATTCAGTGTATTAAACTCAAAGCAAAAGAAACAGCGCTTTTAATGCTGTCCTAAATCAAGAAGTCACAGTAAGGCATTCAACACAAAGCAAAAGCTCACGTTCCACTGCATATATATATTTTCTAAGAATAAAAGTTTAATCATTTCAAAATTTAGCAAACAATATTTCAAAACGGGGGGATTCAGTGCAATCATTATTTGCGTAATATAAATTTTCTAAATGTCAAAAAGTTAAATTCGTAACAAATTTCATTTGCATTTAGCATAAATGTTGCAAATGAATAAAAAAACAAACTAAAAATTGATGAGCGCATACTTGAGTAATCATTAGACATATGACAAAGCGTCTAGTTTTTGACAATTACATTCACATAACTATGAATCAAATGATTTTAAATCAACATAATTGAACATGTCGAAAATTTAAAATTCTCCATGGACCCTAAAAACGGTTATTTTATCTTCCATACATTATGTACAAACAAGAAGAGTTTTACAAATATTTTTTCAAACCATTTTGAAGCAAACATGTCGCACGCGTGATCCTCGTTTTACATTATTTCCATTATGCGTTATTATTTAATAATTGTCTTAAATAAACTATTTATGAAGACTTTGAGATGAAGAACAGCAATACACAGCGCTGTTCCTTTGCTTTTTGTGTTTTTTTTTTTTTTTGCTGTGCATGTACTGATTTGGTGTCATGGATGGATACCGATATCTTTTGTTTGTCTACTATATTTACTTACTCAATGAATTGCTGTATAAGACCTTTCAGCTGGTCCATAGTGATGCTTGGGTTCTTAAACTTTTCTTGGATTTCTTTGCTACATTTGGATATTGTCATCTGTGATACGAAACTGGACACATTTGATACTCTGTAAATAAATTAAAAATACTTAAATTTTCAAAAAAAAGGGAGTTGACATTTGAGTGCTCATTTCCCAAATCACACTTTCTTTTGTAATTTTTCCCAACTTCCAACTTCCAATTTTTCATTCTTTTCTCAGATTCCACTTTTTTTACCCCCTATATCCCGCGTCCACACTTTCTTTTAACTACCTATACCCCACACCCCAACAGCGTGTCACCCCCTCTTCAAATAAACACACGTGTTGCCTTTTGTCTGCGAATTCTGTATTTAAGCATAAGTAGCAGATTATGTTTTGATATGCGAAACCATAGAAATCAATCACAGTAGGTTTTGTGATCGATCCACAGCTGTGTATCTACAGCTTTGTTATCAGGGGACACTTTACATGTATTTCCCGTGCCTGAGGGAGATATGAAGATTTGGTCACCCAAGAAATTACATATTTCACGAGGACATCGCCGGAGGGAAATATGACTTTTCTTGATTTATAAGTAAACACGACATAAACAATGATAACCAGTACCGATCAAAAGTTAAATATTTATTCTTTTTTTTTTAAGATCCAAATAATTTTGAACATGAAATTACTATACTATCTCTTAAAAAAACCGTTCAAAACGTTATATTCATTAATTAACCGCGCGTAACGTCGCACAAGGAAGTTCCGACATTCAGAAGGGAATTTGATACTCGGAGGGGAAAATGAAGTTTTGTTCAACGTCACGTGGAATCAATTGTTAGTTTTGCTATCAATATTTACATGCAGTGGAATGAAATAAATCATTTTACGTGCATGCCGTTCAGATCTTAAATTGATTTTTCCTTGAAATTTTGATACACACTTTCAAAATATGATCAAATATGCAAACAAATATATATGTATGACTCTGAACCCTGATGGGACTCGGAACCGCGATGGTTACCCTGAAGTGCGATGGTTTGACGCTGACGTGCGTTTTTTATCACGCTGAAGTGCGATGGTGTCATTGTGATGCTATCATTTTGACAGCTACGCCGAAGTTCGTTGGTGGTAACGCTGAAGTGCGATGGTTTACATAAACTATATGTTCAATGTTTTTCATGTTCACCTGTCGATGAAGAAGTCAAAGTGTTTGTTAGAAGCAACTTTTCAAGTTTTTTAATAAATTATCGAAACTATAACCCGTTTTAACTAGAGGTCAAAGACGTGTTAAAGAGAGTCTGCATTTCCAGTCATTACTGTAACTTTGTACTTTACTTTTTGAATTGACTTGGACAAATTAAAAGCCAACGTTCATACAATCGTTCAAGATGATACGTGCGAAGGTCACTTTCCATTAAAACCCCTTATAATTTCAATGACTAAAAATGTGGTTTGAAATGAAATATAATTAGGGGCGGAACACCATCTCCAAGACTACGTTCGGTCATGTTACAAGACAAAACGACAACGGAAACACATTTTTTTTTTAAATGTGAAACATAAAGATCAATAGATTGATGGATGCCTGATGTTCAAATTCCAGTCGCAAATATTTTACGAATTATTAGCACGAAAACAAGTAAATAAGGGGCTAATAGAAGTTTAATACAACCGGGAAAGGGGAGTGATTAATAGAGAGGTGAAATCAGCCTTGGAGTTCTATAGCGAATCTTTTATTTTTGCGTACGATGGAGCGTGGTATTCTCTTAATACATACGGGTCCACAGACACACTCTACGTATTATAATATTACGGTAAACGTAGACCTCATGAGAAAAACAAAGTAAATTATAATTGTTAATGCAGAATTATACCCAAAATGCAGCAAGATTGAAACTGTAACTAAGGACATATAGACCATCGCACTTTAGCTAACGGACCATTGCACTTCGGCGCAGACCATTGCACTTCAGTGTCCCCATCGCACCTGCGAGTCCTACATATATGCCTGTATTTTTATAAAATTTTGTTTCTAATATTTTGTATTTACATTGTGTCATAGATCAAATTTATTCGTTCATTGTATGTTCACTTGTTTTTCTTAATATGTCTTTTGATTGAGTTCAGCCATTTCAATTGATATTTTATAGTGTGTCTTTCTATGTTCTGATGTTACACTATTGTTTCAGGTTGGGTGAAGGTTGTCGCCTATTAAAACGTTTAAACCTGTTGCATTTGTTTGCACCTGTCCTAAGTCAGGAATCTGACGTTCAGTGGTTGTCGTTTGTTGATGTGGTTCACAAGTGTTTCTCATTTCTCGTTTTTTATATAGATGATACCGTTGGTTTTTCCTGTTTGTATGGTTATACACTAATCATTTTTGGGGCCCTTTAAAGCTTGCTGTTCGGTGTGAGCCAAGGCTCCGTGTTGATGGCCGTACTTTGACCTATAATGGTTTACTTTTACAAATTGACCCTTGGATGGAGAGTTGTCTCATTGGCACTCATACCACATCTTCTTATATCTATCTAATGCCAGTACACTATCCTATAGATGAATACATTACAAAATTATAATCTACCCTTTTAAAGAAAATAAGTCATTTTTATATATTGTTTTCCCAACAGAATTCTTTTAAAAGAGAGGCGAAAAATACCAAAGGGACATTCAAACTCATAAGTCGAAAATAAACTGACACCGCCATGGCTAAAAAAGAAAATGACCAACAGACAAAACAACAGTACACAAAACACAACATAGAAAACTAAAGACTGAGCAACACGAACCCCACCAAAAACTGGGGATGATCTCAGGTGCCCCGGAAGGGTAGGCAGATCCTGCTCCACATGTGGCACCCGTCGTGTTGCTCATGTCAGTACAAACCCAGTAATAAGTTTAATTCGGTAGGTCACATTCGGGGAAAGGGGGACGGGAATGTAGTTACGACAATTGGAACATATCCGCTATCATCTGTGAAACATGTTGTATAGTCATTGAGATAATTTAGGATGACTTTAATGAGTAGTAACCACTTCGGTGTACTTGTGGTAGTCTAATCGTCTTGATTGTGAGTTGTTATGAGTCCCTATTGTATGGGTTCGATCCCCAACTGGATAAAACCAAAGTCAAAATAGTTGTTGCTGACTCTCATGCAGCTTTTGGGGTTAGAGAAAAGATTGGTCGACACGGAGTAAGAATTAAATAATTATCTAAGTAGGAAGATCTGTTTTCTCCGGACTGTTACCTTGGTATCTAGTATTTTTAAAAATTCAAACAACGTGTCGTTCTAGTACAAGCAGGTTATATTCGTTTACCATTGACATGTTATTGTCCTACCTATGCATGTCCAGTGACGGATCCAAGCGGCGTAGAGGACGTAGGTCCCTACCTCCTATGATATGAAAAATATCAATTTTGGCATAAAATCGTCTGTATATATTCCGTTTTATGGAATTACGCCCCTTACAAAATCTTGTATCCCTCCTTGATGTTATATATGATAATGGATGTAAAGCTTTGATAATAAATCTTAATTAGAACATGACTTACCTAGCATGTGGTCTCAGTAGAGGGAAGAGTGTGTTACACACGTTCAGTGTACCATAGAAGTTTGTACCACATGACACTCTTGCTTGTTCACCGAAAGATGCTGTAGATGATTGCTATGATATAAAAAAATAAAACAGACATGATTTCAATGTATCATCCTGAACATGCATGACATATTTATCATTGGGAGTTAAGCAACTCGCCAAATCATGATTTCAATGCCTAATGATTTCATATTTTCTTATTTTACAATAAAAAAAAAAACTCCCATGATTACTTGTTTACAACAATTGATTTAGAAATTGTTTAGGAGATCATCAAAATTTTATGTTATTCAAAACTATAGGATGTCGTTTTTTGTGATATACCATGAGGTACCCCTAAAATAACATTAAATTATTATGATTCTTTTTATTTTCATGTTCCTATCTCTTTATATATATATAATCAACATAAAATAATATTTAATAATTGAATGTTTCTTTTTTAAAACTTTATTTTGGGTGTAAAAGCCTTGACCGAAGCACATTGTGTATGAAGATACTGTGGCCTACTGCGCTATCTAGATCCCATTTCAGTTGACGATCATTTGTTACTTGTACACTTTCTAAATTGTGCAGTCCGCTACTGCACAGCCTATATACCAGTCCACTGACTAATAAGCCTCTATGATATGATCCACTGTTATCCATTCCATTTCCATTCAACGGTACAATCTGAGTAAGTGTTTTATTTTTTTAATTGAGTGATTATGAATACAAGTTTTACCATAACATACCTTGAATGCAATACCAGCATTGTTTACTAAGACATCAATTCCACCATATTTTTCTTTGACAAAGTCTCTCAGCTTGTTAATGGAAGCTTGATCATCAATGTCTAATTGGTGATATTTAGGTGATAGTCCTTCTTTCAGGAGCTCTGCAACAGCAGCCTTACATCTCTCTTCACTTCGTCCTACAATTAAGCGCATTATCGTAAATGCAAATGTACATTGTAATTGCATATGTGCATTATTGTTCATGCATATGTGCGGTATTGTAAATTGCATATGTGCATTATTGTGAATTCAATTGGACAAATTGCTTACATTAATTTGTTGCAAGACAGTGTATTTCATTTTGACAACTTTAACATTACGGTGCCTCTAAAATATATTTGACAAGGAAACATGTATAATATATATATTGGTAATGACGGGTATATACGTAGCACATGTTTTAAAAGAATCAAAGAATATTATGTGGAATTTCTAGTTATATAAGAAAATTTGAAATCCGAAGAATCTTAGCTTCACATTGGAGCATGCATTAACTTTAGTTCTGATTAAATGTGATACTAATGATATATTCGCAAAATTGGTTTGTTTTGATTCCAGACTGCAGTGATTCTTTTTATTAAAAATAACATGCAATGAATCCAATAAAGATGAAATCAATGTGGTGTTGCTGCATTTCTTAAATTTGCAAATACTTCAGTCATATTACATTTAAAACATTACACTACTCTGTACATTTTGCATACTATATTTTGTGTAATTCATCAATTACATTTGAAGCATGACACTGCTTTGTAAGGTGTGATGTTATGTTGCTTGTTCACTGAATTCTACCGATACCACAGCTCCTTAACTAATAATATTGTGAATGCTCACCATCAAACTGTTTACATAATGCCTGGACTACAGCATAACCTATCCCTTTGTTTTTCTTACCTGTGAGGAGAACATCACCATCAAACTGTTTACATAATGCCTGGACTACAGCATAACCTATGCCTTTGTTGGCTCCAGTTACCTGTTTGTACACATGAATACTATATTATGTTAGCAATGTATTAGTATATGCAACAGGACCATTTTCGAGTGAACGGTCCTTGTTTTACATCGTATAGTACAATCTACTATTTCAGGTCACAAAGTTGTGTTAACGCTTAAACATATTTCAATAATCATTGATATTTACCGTTTGCAGCTAAATGATATAAGTAGCAATGAAATGCTGATCATACAAATATAGATTATACAATATATAAATATATATTACTAAATGCAAATGAAATATTATCTAGCAAATGAATTAACACCCTGAAATAAATAGTAGATGAGCCGGGAAAATAACCAATACCTGTTGCATTTGAAATAGATAATAAAAAATAACAATATTAATGGCAAATACTTACAATTGCTACTCTTTTTGTCATGATTTTTTAACGAGCAAGGAACTATAAACTTTTTGTTTGAAGTTGTCAAATTTCCACAAATATATAAGGTTTTATATTAGGTCATGTTCTAGAATTTAAACCCCCGGTCTATATTCTGGTTAATAAACTATGCATTTAGAAACAAGCTAATTCATCAAAGAATATAAAGAATGTTGATTGGTCTTTATTAATCGACATTTTCAATAACTTCAGGTAAGAATACAGGTAAAATGTAGGGGGTCATATCAAAAGGTAAATTAACAACGGCATTAGGCCATTTAAAAAAACGGTTCGTAGAGCAAATGGCTATATCAGGATTCATCTTGTGTTTTTCTTCATAATTTACTTAATACATGTACTAGTATGTGTATTTATAAAACATTTTACATTGCAATATACCTCGAAGAAGAAAAAATACCGGATCAATCATTTCTCGTCCAATCCAGGTTTTTTTCTCTACAATTAATGTACTACGTATTATAAATATTTGCCAATAGCTTAAAACTGGGTTTGTTTTTTGAATGCCACTTATACATTTTACTATCCCCTCGCGACAAAGAGAGGATGTTGTAACGGAAATGTCCATTTGTCTGTCCGTTTACACTTATAGACACAGTTTCAACTGATCTGTACTACATTTGGTATAAACACATTCAGTATAGAGACTACTAGAGGCTCATTGATTTTCAAGGTCTAAGTTGAATAAAACATGGATATTTTTAGTATATCCCGTAAATAGAGCCACGTGAACTATAATATTCCAGGCATTGGCATTGTCACCTGGGACCTAATATATACTAATACACCGTAGGTAATAGACAATGCTGGGCATACGCAGCGTGTGGGTTTTCGTATCAGAACTATATGCACAATGATACACATTGATACAGTAAATTGGTAGAGCTTGACTGCACTATTTACAAGACGAAAGTGCCTCAAGAAATAAAATATACCGAAATGGAATTTCAAAACTTGTGATAGCACCATTTACGCACATGCGCTTTGGGAATGGACCCCTCTTTTTCTATCTATTTTGTTTTTGTGTTTCATTTTTTTTTTGTAGTAAATATTCTTGAGTATTTTAACTTATTAACACTTATTTGATACGTTGTTGCGTTTATACAAACAATTTTAAATAACAGTAATTTATTCATGATGCTCCTCTATTCTTATTTTTGAAATAAGTGAAAATTATTATTAGCTAAATATTAAAGAATAATTACTAAAATAACATATATATATATCTGCATTTTCCTCCAATATTGAAGAGCATTGGTTAGAATAAGATGTGGATACTAAAAAAATCGAAAGATCTGTTAGAGTACATACAATCTAAGTCTCTTTCATCTTTCAATAGTATTAAAACATTTGACTTTTCTACACTTTACACAAGTATGCCCCGTTCGAACTATAAGACAAATTGAAAGAATTGGTCCTGCTTTGTTTCATAAAAGAGAATGGCCAACGTAGATACAAGTATCTTGTCTTAGGGAGGGATAAATCTTACTTTGTAAAAAATCACTCTGATTCAAACAAAATATTCTCCGAAACTGACATTATCAAGACGCTTGATTTCTTGATTGACAACATATTTGTTACGTTCGGAGGACGTGTTTTTCAACAAACCATTGGCATTCCAGTGGAAAACAACTGTGCTCCTCTTCTTGCCGACTTATTCCTTTATTCATATGAGGCCGACTTCCAACAGTAGCCTCTAAGAAAGAATGAAAAGAGGCTAGCATTAACTTTCAACTTCACGTGCCGCTATATAGATAATGGCCTCTCACAAAATAATTTGATGACTATGTTGTACACATCTATCCCATCGAACTTGAAATAAAGGAAACAACAGATAGAGTTATAATGTCTGCTTCATATCTTGAATTTCATCTAGAAATTGACAACAACGAGTGTCGGTTGAGAACAAAACTTTACGACAAAAGAGATGATAACATTTCTATGTAGCAACATTCCAGCATCACCCGCATATTGAGTATATATCTCCCAGTTGATACGATATTCCAGACCTTGCATTTCCTATCATGATTTCCTTGATATAGGATTGTTGCTTACAAGGAAGCTATTGAACCAAGAGTTCAAAGTGGTGAAGTTGAAATCATCCCTTCGAACATTTTACGGACGCCATCACGAGTTGGTTGACCGTTATGGAATATCTGTTTCACAGATGACGACGGATATGTTCCAGTTGTTGTAACAACAATCCCGTCCTCTTTTCCTCGAATGTGACCTAGTACCGAATTAGACTTTTAAGTACTTACATGAGCAGCACGACGGGTGCCACATGTGGAGCATGATCTGATTACCCTTTCGGAGCACCTGCGATCACCCCTTGTTTTTGGTGGATAAGTGTTGCTCAGTCTTTATGCTTACTGTGTTGTTTGTCTTTTCGTCGTTTTCTTTTTTTTGCCATGACATTGTCAGTTTGTTTTCGACTTATGAGTTTGAATATCCCTTTGATATCTTTCGCCCCTCTTTTAGATCGATAGTTTTAAAGTAAAGCAAGAAGACAGGACATTATATTTACAAACAATGTATCAAACTAACCTTTACAAAACAATATATAAAGCTTGAAGAATTACAGCCGATTGCATTGAGTGTGTAGGTAAAGATAATATCTTTGGTTAGCTTGCTTGCTAGCTGAACCGTGAATTCATTATTAGGTAAGGTATACTACCCTCCTTTCGAAGTAGCCTAGTCCTACAGACAGATAGATTGGTTATCTATCGGACTAGTCTACTCTTAAAGGAGGGTAGTTTACCTAGCCTAATAATGACTTCACGGTTCAGCTAGCAAGCAAGCTAACCAAAGATATTACCTTTACCTACACCCTCAGTGCAATCGGCTGTAATAAAGAAAAACACACGTTTCTAAGCCTAAGAAATTAACATTATCTGGACAGAAAAATCGTATTCACAAATTATTGTCAAATACAGAGACTATAATGGTTTACTTTTATAAATTGTAACTTGGATGGAGAGTTGTCTCATTGGCACTCATACCACATCTTCCTATATCTATACACCCATATATTCGTACATTTTCAAGTCGCACACATCCTGTAAATATTAGTGATGCAAGCCTTTTGAAACATAGTCATATCACCGTCGTCAAGATCTAATTCTGGAGGCATTATAAGATGCATGCTAAAGATCTAATCTGATCATGAACTTTCTATTGTAATCCAAAGCGAAGTGTATGGATGTTATAAGGAAAGTAACTCAGCACATAAACATTATGTTATTTATCATACTAGGTTAAAATTTCATTTTCTCAGTAAAATGACATTGAATGTACTTTTGCACTTTTCCCATTAATCGAAAAAGAGTGTTCTGTTGAGATCGATTTCATGGAAAACGTATGTCCGTCAAAAAAAAACTATTGGTGATAAAAAAAAAAGTTCAATACTACCATGAAAACAAAACTGAGATACAATTACCTAATAGTATCATAGATTTTAAATTGTATTTTTTTTAAACGCTGTCTCATTTTGATATAACATTTCACTCGAAAAATAATACCACTCATTTTAAACGTGAGGATTTAAATCATTCCTTTTTCAAATAAAAACTCTGATTGGTTGATGCATATATATATATATATATCTATATGTATTTATCATTATTTTGTCAAATTTCAACATTTATAATAACAGGACAGATTTCATCTATTCAATATGTCCAATAATTCCTCTGTACAATGATTCACATACTAGTCAAGATGAAATTTCACGTCGCTATGTTGATAGTTTTTTTCTAACGTTGGACTTCAAGGTAAGAAGATGTTTTGACGTCTAAGTAATATAATGAGTAACAAAATATGACAAAGAAAGTGAAGGATATGTTATTAAGACAGCTAACCAAAACGACAAAACATTTGTTAAGTTTTATATCATAATCAAAATAAGTCTTTAGTGCAAAATTACAATCATAAGGGTCAGGCAATAACAAATAAAATATTACATACAAGAATACAACAAATAAACCATTAAATTGATACACAAATGAAAGATAAAGTTTACTATAACTACAGTTACATGAGAATCATGAACCTTTCTGTAATGGGTCTGTCGCCCTCAGTTCTAGAGAGTGTTTAAAAAAGACACCAATATGACAAACAAGTTCAGGGGTGGGGCTAAGAATGTATACTACTTAACAGGACCAACATCTTGAATATTAATGATGATGCGTTGTCTCTTAGATGATCAAAAAGTCTTGGCGTAATGACATATTAATATTACAATAAAAAAAGAAATAATATTCATCCTCTAGGACTCACGGGGGGGGTCTCAACATGGGATTTTGGGGTTTAAAAAACACCCCAATTCATATATTGAATAATTGTGAAATCCCTACCTATACATATATTTCACAGCGAACTCATAACCCATTCATATATTTAGATTATTTATTGTGACAGTGTAATAAAATTTGATCAATAACAAAACTTGTGTCAATAAGTTTTAGCAGATGTGGAAATTTTAATGACAAAGAGTTTGGGAAATTCAGTGAAGATCGTTGCACAACAAACTGGTAAAATATGACCCATTGATATATCACAATTGGTCAATTACTACCTATTGATATATTTCCATGGTAAAATTGCACCCCATTGATATATTTGACGTAAAAAAAAGGGACCCATTCCAGCGGCACATATGTATATACCTTCATATAGGAAGAGATTCCCCCAAGCTAGTACTATATTTCTTACATAACCTTTGTACTCTTGTGATGGTCATGTATCTATCCACTTCAAGACCTTGTGAATAATATTTTTATGCTAAAATAAGGATGTGACAAATAATGACAGGTCCGTAGTCGACATCACTTACTCACCTCCCCGGTAGGGAATCAAACCCCGGTCTATCGCGTGACAGGCGGGGATAGTAACCAATATACTAACGAGGACTTGAAGAAATGTGCACAATTTGTAGCAGTTAAAGCTAAAATTTAGTAATTAACAACAAAAATATCAGGAAGCTAGTTTTCCCGCCTCCCTCAAATGAGAGAAATAAGTGTGCATCATATCAAATAGGAGTGTTATTTGCAGAAAATGTTTGATTTTGTGACTTATACATATATACGACTGCAAAATGCTCTGCAAGGTATCAATGTAGACAACACGAAG